ATCGTGATCTCTTCATCGTCAAACATAATTCCTCTGAGTCCTCTGCTACTGTTATGGGCAACACTGGTGGCGGTGACTCCTCTACCGCTATGTCGGTCACTCGTTCTTTGGCTGTGGAAATCTTCGAGGTGCCAAAAGGTGTTCGACTTTTTCCCCTCATTCTCCGCTTCCTCTTTTCTGTAAGTCATTGGCTTCTGTGGCTTCTTTGTATTTATCTTCCACTTTATGAAAAGCCAATTGATTTTCCATACGTTTGTTTGGAAAGTATGAGCTCTTTGAATTGAGGATAGAGGATGGTTGTTTATGGCCCTAGATTCGGACTTTTTGGCAATGAATACTTTGTACAGATTATTCTTAGATGTAGGTGTCAATTTGCTATAAATGTTATGAAGTAGGTACCTGTTCAAACGAACCTATTAACCATGGCTTGGCTAAACCGTTTCAACAAAGACCAAGAACGCCATAACAATTACTTGCTAACGGATTGGTCTCATGTAATGTAGTGTGTCATTTACTTATCCTTCGTTGTTCTGTTATTTACTGGAAATGCTCTGATTACGTTTCCATCTTTCAGGAAACGTACTTGAAGGGGAGATTATAAGTTAGTGTAATTTGACATTATTCCTCGTGTTTAGTGGATAAATAAATGCCTCTACCTGAGTGTGCTTCACAGAACCGGGAATGCTATTCGCATCAACTATCTTCACTGAGGCTAGGTTCATAATTAATAATGAGGAAAGTTCACCAATAGACCATCGGCTTTTTGTGAAGTTGTATGTGATTGATTCAACTTTCGAAGCTTCAACGGTCGTCAATAGGTTTGGTGACCCACTGTTGCAATAAAGTTCTGAGTAGAAACTGAGAGATCGAATGGTTGTTACGCAGAAATTGGTAAGAAAGGATTCCAAAGCTTGTATGTTATCCGTTGAAGTTTTGAAGTGTACCAGTCTCAAGGGAAGTTATAGATGGACTAAGGGATTGGCTGTGAAACCCCATACCTTTAGCACAGAATGTCTAGTTTGAAATCTTTATCTTACCATACTGGACCGGATTGCTCAATAATGTTGGGTCGAACTAGGCACTTGTTTGAATTTAACCTCTTGAATCGTTTCGAGGCTCTGCCTTCTTTGTTTTCATGAAAGTTTGAAAATCCATATTATCAGAAATATGTTCATAATCTACCTCTCCTTAAAAATAGAGTTTGCGGGATCTGTTTTAAGTTCAGTGCTGCACCGATTTTTCGCTTCTCCTCTCAAGCTCTGGTACTAGTTTGCAATAGTCAACGCAAATAATTTGGTTAGAATGAAAGGGTGGATTGTAGACCTGTTGGGATTAACATTTGTGTCAAAACGTGCCACACAAGCATCTCTACCGTCCACCCATTCTTCCCCAATCAACAATACCATGCCTTTCACTGATTAAACCTCTTTGTAACTACTTTCGGTTTGCATTCAAAATAGACAAACTTCAGTTTAAGCCCAAACTCTTTGTGCTTTTACTTCACACTAATAAACTGTTTGAATCAAGACTGATGTGCGCTCTGAACA